TTTCCCGTTATCAATAGCTCATTTGGAATATTATCAGGGCCGGGAGCTTTATGTTTCTTTAGGTTACTTAGAACTTCATATACTTCTTGATCTGTAATGGAAAAATCTAATTCCCCTTGACTTTGCGACTGTTCTAAGGTCTCCGTAGTATTTACTGCAGATGTCTGGGAGCATCCACCTCCCAAGAGCCACTATACAGGCTAATGTTGCTTCAGACATGGTATTGATAAAATTTAAATTAAATTTCAATTACCTTTCAATGAGATGTTAATAATTACATTTCAATGACTTTCATATGATTGTAGGGTAGAGCACCTGATTTGAAGTACATTGAGTCTGCTGCCAGGCATATAGCGCAGGTTGCCGAAGGAGGCAAAATTATTGTAGAAAAGAGTACAGTTCCTGTACGAGCTGCAGAGAGGTAAGAAACAAAGCATTCATGTTGTTGAGACTATAAGTACCTATCATACCTCCTAAGACAACACCCCCCCCCCCCCCCCCCAACACCTCTAAGAAATTCCAATTATTCTTGTGGGGGACTTATCCATGGGTATTTTGTGGAACTTGCACAATAATATGCTCTGCTAACCCTCCCCACCCCAAGTAAATTACCAAGACATAAGGTGGGGGGGGGGGTATGGATATTTTCTGTCGTCCATTTTCATGTTTAAAGACAGCTGATTCCTTTGTCCAACATTAATTTCAGTATTACAAGAATATTAAGTGCAAATGCTGATAAAAAGTTTCAGGTAAAAACAGTTATTACATTAAATCATATTCCCTGTGCATGGCACACACTTTCTTGAAACCTATGTTCTACACTGTATAATATGTCAAATCTGTCTAATATAAACACATCCCATCAAAATTTGTTCTTCTTAAGAAATTCTCTGTATCAAAAATGTTTTTCAGGTCTTGTCAAACCCAGAATTTCTTGCCGAAGGAACAGCAATCAAAGATTTGTTGGAACCAGACAGAGTTCTTGTTGGTATGTCTTTCATATTTTAAACTAAGATGGCAGAGCTCAATCATCATCATCCTTCATGCCAGAAGGAGCTGTTTTCTTTAACATTGCACTTTTTATGGGTTAGGGGTAGCATGGGTAGCTCTAACAGGAGTATAACACTCTACGTGACATAGCTCTAGGGTTTATAGGGAAACAGAAACTAGTACACCATCAGGATATGGTAATTATCACTTCAAAGAAGAGCAAGGGTTGCATAGCAACAAAAACGTTTGCCTTAACCACTAATGAAATGTACATACACATGTAAATAGAGTTTATTTGATGATGTTTTGTTCTCTGTATTTCCAGTCAACATAAATATTGACATAAGAGTTGGGTGTTGCTATAGTTTATTTTATGCCCCTATATGAAAAATGTAGAAAAGATGGATCAGTGTTATAATAATAATGAATTAGCATTGTTATTGTGTTAAGGTGGTGACCAGACAAAAGAAGGACTTGCTGCAATAGATGCTCTGAGTTGGGTCTATGAACACTGGATACCAAAAGAGAAGATAATCAAGACAAACACTTGGTCTTCAGAACTATCCAAACTGGTAAGACCATGATAACCTTTGGGCTCCCTGTGGAATTGCTCAACCCCTCCCCCCTGAAATTAATTGACAAAAGGATCCTAATGTTCAAATGTTGTTTTGTTTAAAGGCTGCTAATGCCTTCCTTGCCCAGCGCATTTCAAGCATCAACTCCATGAGTGCAATATGCGAGGCCACTGGAGCAGATGTATCTGAAGTGGCTCACGCCATTGGCATGGATTCAAGGATAGGAAACAAGTTTTTACAGGCATCTGTTGGTAAGAAAGATTGCTAATATTCAAAAGATAGCAGGGCTTTATATAACTGTCGGTCATCAGACAATGTCTGGCTGGTCAAATCTTCACCTTGCTCTCAACCTTCAGGTAATTAGAGCCAATTGTCTTACTATTGATCTCACACAAGGAAATACAAATTTGAATAAGAAAGAAAATTTGCAAAGCATTTTGGTAGTGGAAGTAAAATGATGCCATCATGCGAACATCCCATTGTCGTTAATATGGTCAGTTCATAACTTTTTCATTTTTCTGTTATTTTCCTGCAGGTTTTGGTGGCAGTTGCTTCCAGAAAGATGTCCTAAACCTTGTGTATCTTTGTGAAGCTCTGAACCTTCCCGAAGTAGCTAACTATTGGTATCAGGTGATCTCAATGAATGATTATCAAAGAAGAAGGTTCACCAACAGGATCATCAACTGCTTGTTTAACACTGTGACAGGAAAACGAATAGCCATCATGGGATTCTCTTTCAAGAAGAATACAGGTGACACAAGGTTAGTTACTTTGCAACAGCTAAAAATCAACATGTGAGTTAAGTGATGTGTGAATAGAGCATTGAATGTATTGCGTGAGTAGAACATGTTCTGTTCCCAATTTGTGCGAAAGCGCTACAGGATGATGAAAGAAACTTGCATGTCAATAGAGATATTGTTTTTAACCTGAGTATTAATTATAATTCTGCAGAGAGTCAGCCAGTATCTACATATGCAAATACCTAATGGATGAAGGAGCTTTCCTAACTATCTATGATCCAAAAGTAAAGGAATCCCAGATTCTATTGTAAGTACTGATTAATATCAAAATCAGAAATATTGGTATATGCACAGCTTTCAATAATATTGATTTCATAATAGGTGGTTATAGTCCTAAGAAGTAGGGGGCTGATCAAAGCCACTGGTGTTTGTATATAACTTTATTTGGTAATGAATTAATTTTTTGTCAAAATAGTTTTTGGCAAAATATCAGGCGATGAACTGCCGATAGCTGCCTTTTATTGAAAACATTGTATATGGCAACTGGATCCCAGTTAAAAATCTCCTTAATTCATGTACCATCTTCCCAAAGAAGAGGATGTAATCCAACAATGTTACTATTAGCTTTTTATCTGTTTAATTTGGCATATTTTTAATTTACTATGTGCAGGGAACTACAAGACCCTGCCATCTCTGAGGACCCAACAAGAGGTAAGTTTTTCTTCAAGTAATTTTAATTGAGTAATATCATTCTTCATTTTAATGTATTTCTAATTTTATTGCAGTGAAGCGGCTGGTTACTATTGAACAGGATCCTTACAAGGCTGTGGACAAGGCTCATGCCTTTGTAGTCTGTACTGAATGGGATGAATTCAAGGTAAAGTTGGAGTCTGAAATCAAGCTAAGGGTGTTACTTTTATTTCACAGTATTAATGCACTTCACTCTCTCCTCTGGGATCTCAGGCTTGATTCCTAGACTCAGCGTCACATGATAGCAGAGCTTGGTTAGGTCTATCCCTTTATTTAAGATTTTCTTTCTGGGTTCTCTGGGTTCCCTTCCTCTGCAAAATCCAAAACTTCAGATAGCTTAGATCTCAGAATTTGATCTGTAAGGTTAGCTGTGCCCAGAGGTGGGTATAGCATTTACCTAAGAGTAATAAATTATTTATGTTGTCTCTTTATTTTGATTGGCTTACAGACGTATGACTACCAGCATATCTATAACAACATGCTGAAGCCTGCCTTTGCGTTTGATGGACGGATGATTCTTAATCATCATCATCTTCATGATATTGGTTTTCAAGTTGAGACAATCGGTAAAGTTGTATCATCTGGTTATTCACTTCCATCCATGTAAATCAACCTGTGTCATCTTGCCTTAACTAATCAAAATCAACCAATCGGCATTCATGTGGGCATCAATCTAATTGGCCATTCAGGAATGAGGAAGACTTTATCTGTTTGGCCAATCAGCATGTTGGAAATCTGATTGACCAATCAGCATCAAAGTTGATATCTAGTTAACCAATCAGCATCAAGGAATGTACTTGGTTGTACAGTCAGCATGAATGCAGATAGCTGATAATCCAATCAGCTGCAAGCTTATGACCTGTCTGTTTGTCCAATCACAATAAGTGTTGGCATCTAATTGGCCAATCAGCATATAGGGTTGTGTTTTGTGATTGGTTTTATCTTTGACCAATCAGGATACATGTGGAGATATCATTAGCCAATCAGAACAAATGGGCATAAGTCTAATAGACCAATCAGACATATGACTAACAGCCTGGTTGACCAATCAGCATTGACTGCCACATCCTCCAAACCAATGAAGTGCTGTCAACCAATCAGCATGCATGGGTTTTAAGTTATTCTTAACCATACGTTGTAATGTAATCGTGCCGCATCACATTCAGTCACTCTGGTGTCATTGTTTTACATAATAGTATATTTATATTGTTTAGTATTTAGCCTAAATTATTTTTGACCCATATAAACATATATTAAAATACTGATAATTATTAACACCTATTGGTAAACCAAGGCCTTATTATTTAAGGTTTCATGTGCAACAAAGCGAAAAGAGGTTAGGTCTTAAAGTTTTAAACTAGCATATTTGCATAACCTTCATATAAATAATCGCTCATAGCAACATGAGATGATGAAAGGACCAGTGATTACGTCTGCTAAGTTTATAAATTATCCTATAAAAGCTGTACTGAGTTAAGGAGAGATGCATGTGTTCTATCGTCACGACATGTGACTAGAAAGTGCTTTTATGATTAATAGAAATTAATACAAATGATTATTTTAGTCTAATATATAAAAAGATTGAATAAATAGAATGATATTAATGGAATTAAAAATCTTGAAATAAAAAAAATTAAATCTTAGAAACAGTCATGACTCCAAATGTAATTGATTTACTCGTTATAATATTTACAATGCATCCGCACAAATAAGGTTTCATAACGATCTTTTTCTAGCTAAAAATGTCATCTTAAACATCTATAAGAACACTATATGCATTCATTCTAGAAAAACTACAAACTGTCTAAATCTAATAGATAATAATAATAGATAATCGAAATTAGGATCATAACTCATTAACCTTCCTTCACAACTCTCTACACACATTGATAACTAAGTGTGCAGGACTCATGGGCGGCAGTCGTAAGGTCACTATGTAGGAACCTGCAGAGAAGTCTGTTCTCTTCTTATTCTTGATATTTTGAGGCTACATTAACAGAGCTGCATTGATCAACAAACTTAGGATGGTCAGCCAGATTGCCATGGATAACACAGCTCCAGCTGAAACAAAGGATAATATTTGAGAATGTTTGAGCATATTACTTTTGCAAGGCATGTGAAATCCGCAGTTTCTTTATGTGTTGCTTCAAAAAATGTTCAGACAATTCAAAGGAAAAAAAATATTGAAAAAATAGGTCTTTTAATGCTATGTTGCCATGACTCATTATGGATTTCATATTAATAGGTAGTACTAGTGTATATAGATAGCGCTAATATACCAGAATAAAATGCAAGCATGTTAGCAAAGTTTAATCAAGATTGATACTTACCATTACAGGTCTTGCCATTCCCATGGTAACCACTCTTACATTTGCAGGTGTAGCTGCCATAATTGTTCGTACAATCAGCATGTTTGGAACAGTCATTGCTTAACCAGCATTCATTAATATCTAGAAAATAATGGATAATGTAATTATACTGTGTTACTGTGTTATATGATCTTCCTCAGTCCTCCCAAGTAAATTACTGGCTTTACCTTTACAGTATGTTCCGTCTCCCTGGAAACCATTGTTACACGAACATCGATATGAACCAGGTGTGTTATGACAATAAGTGTGACGGTGACATGAGAATGAATCAGTTTCACACTCATTTATATCCTCGCAATGCTTGCCATCCCCACTGTAACCATGACTACATGAACATCTGAAGGAACCAATAGAGTTGATGCAATCTGCGTTGTCGCCACAATTGTGTGTTTTGAGTTTGCATTCATCGATATCATTGCATGTTCTTCCATCACCACTGAAACCATCTTTACATGTGCATTGGTAAGATCCCACAGTGTCGGTGCACACTGCGTTGCTGTTGCAATTATGCATTCTTGTGCTGCATTCGTTTATGTTTTGACAAGATTTTCCATCTCCAGTAAAGCCTTTTTTACAAGCGCACTGGTATGAGCCAATAGTATTGGTGCAAACGGCATAGACGCCACAGCTATGGGTGTTAAGTTTACATTCATCAATGTCAGTGCAATTTCTTCCATCTCCAGTAAAACCTTTGTTGCAAGCGCATTGGTACGAGCCAATACTGTTGGTGCAAACGGCATTGACGTTACAGCTATGGGTGTTAAGGTTGCATTCATCAATGTCAGTGCAAGTCCTTCCATCTCCTGTAAAACCTTTGTTGCAAGCGCACTGGTACGAGCCAATAGTGTTGGTACACACTGCATTGACGTCACAGTTATGGGTGTTAAGGTTGCATTCATCAATGTCAGTGCAAGTCCTTCCATCTCCGGTAAATCCTTTGTTACAAGCGCACTGGTACGAGCCAATATTGTTAGTACACACTGCATTGACGTCACAGCTATGGGTGTGGAGCTTGCATTCATCAATGTCAGTGCAATTTCTTCCATTTCCGGTAAAACCTTTTTTACAAGTGCACTGGTATGAGCCAATAGTGTTGGTACACTGTGCATTGACGTCACAGCTATGGGTGTTAAGGT